GGGCGGGGGGGGGGGGGGACCTGGCAGCCATACTGTGGAGCAAGTGGGAAGAGTAATGCCACTACCCTCCTCGGCAGATGGGAGAACCCACTGATCTAGAGCACTGCAGTGACTGAATTACAGTTTGGAGAACTTACCACGTGGCATACGTCGATCGCCTCCACGTATCTCTTATCTTTTAGATAATTGAAAGCAAGTTTAAATCCTGGGTGGGGGGGGAGAGAGGGAAACACAGGAAGGTTAGTGTTCTGCTTAATGAACAATGTCAACTTGCGTCGTAACACTGGCTCCTGTGCGGAAAAAAGATCCTGCTGTTAGGTGCCTAGTTAAGAAAAAAATACCCTCCCCTCACCATTGTACCCTAGCTTAGATAAATTGTGTATATGTCTGTAAAACCGCTCTGAGCCATATGGATAGGGCGGTATATAAATCGCAAATGTAATGTAATGTAATGTAATGAAAGCAGTGCAGACACAGCAGGGCTCTCTATAGGGGGGCACCTAGGCACGCACAGAAATAAGTCTTTGCAAAGCAACCAGAATCGAAGATCTCCTCCTGTGGAGGAATGAGGCGAAAGGCAGATCTCCTCAAGAGAAGAGGCTAAAGAGAAAGATGGGAACTTGGAGAACCTGACAGAGGTATTATTGTAAATGTTATCGTGACAAATCAGTTGCCAGTTTTAAGAAAAGGCCCCCTGGTGGCAGGATGGAGGAATGCAGGGGGACTTGAGCAGGGACCATAGTGCCAATGTGGGTGAGAGAGAGCCGGACTTCCCTGCTCACATCGGTACCTACCAGGCCCGTAGCCAGGATTTTTTAATTCAGGGAGGCCTTTAAATAAGTCAGGGGCCCCCCCCCCCCCAGGGAGCACCATAAATAAAATTTAAAATCGGAAGTTGGGGGGGCTGGGCTGGATCGGAAGCCATGGGGCTTTGGTGGTAAGTTGGGGGGCCGGGCCCCAAGAGGCCTCACTGTAGCTACGGGCCTGGTACCTCCTTGGCTGTGCTGCGATCTTCCCCAAAGCACTGCAGCCAAGCAGGCTCAGGAAAAATGGCAGGAAAGACTGGAGGTGCACTGAAGCACACTGATGCGGCGGGGAAGTAGGGAAAAACTCACTTCCCAAGAGCATCTATGCCAGGGCAAACAACCCACGTGGAAGAGACAAACTTGCACGAGTAGCTCAGGGAAATTAGCCATTTCGCAGCTAGCAGCCTCCAAACATCTTTTGGATGATTTGGCCCCATGGAAGTTATGAAACTGGGTTTCAGCTTTAGGATCTGGTCACTTGGAATGATCTTGTTTATAGGAAACAAGCTTGGCAAAGCGGTTTGGTATGTCCGGAGTTTGTAGGAGCCCAGGATTCTGCTTTGGAGTCCATAGTATAGCCAGCAGCTACTTCAGTACCATCACTTGATAGATGGACTGGCATTGAAAATTTTTGAGACTTTACATGTATCAATTCAGGGGGGGGGGCAGCATTATCGATTATATATTTGTCAGGTAGCCCTGTCATGATCTCCTGCCAACCTAGCCGTTCGAAAGCAAGAAATTGCAAGTCGATAAATAGGTACCACTTCGGTGGGAAGGTAACAGCGTTCCGTGCACCTTGGTGCTTAGTCATGCCGGCCACGTGACCACGGAAACGTCTTTGGACAGCGCTGGATCTTCAGCTTTGAAATGGAGATGAGCACCGCAACCCTAGAGTCGGACTCGACTGGCTTTCGAGCAAGGGAACCTTTACCTTTACATGTCATGATGTTGGAATGTGGAGGGGGAATCTCTCTCACCACGCCAGCTCATCCTGTCTAGTTTTTCACTGCTTCTCTCTGCACTGACCTTGCTTTCCCAGCTGCTGCTTACCCAGCCTGAGAATCTTAACTGTTTGGGCGTGCAACTGCTTTACTAACCGCGCGCATGAAATGTAATCACTGGTCTTCGCTGGGGGGGGGGACATTTGATATTACTATAAGTCAGTGGCCATCATATTGCCGGTCAATTCTGACACGAAGCTGAATACTCGCTCTTACTCGCGGACTATCATTAAAACACTTATCTTCTGAAGAAGCCTTGGTGTGTGGTGTGATCCTGCTAAGCGACCTGACAATATTGACTAATGATAATGCATTACAGCGAGTGCCATCCTTCTCTGTGGGGGGCTTTATGGGGAGTGACCATCTGCCCTTATTGTTGGAAATTTGGTTCGTAGATCCGTGTGCTCTTCCTAACTCACTGCAGGCAGAGCCGGCTCGCTCACTAGGCATTCGCCTAGAGCGCACCAGCCCTTAGGGGCGCCAAACTGCACCTGCCCCACACCAAAAGCCCCCCCCCGCCTAAAGACCTGCATTTCCATGGGTGGAGGCATTTCCACGGGCTGCCCGCCACCTCTTTCGCCGGCTAACTTCTCCCTGCCTGCCCCCTTGGCTTCCCAGCGGAGCGCTTCTCATCCTCCTCCTCCTCTTCCTCACGGCCGGGGACTGGCAGCTGCAGCAGAAGCAGCAGCAGCAGTAGGGCCGGGGGAGCGACGGCTTGTGAGTGCCCCGCCAAGTCAGCCTCTTCTCCAGGTGCCCTGACGAGGGGCGCCAAACTGCACTCGCCCCCCGCCAACAGCCCCCCTGCTGGCTCTGACCGGGGGGGGGGCACAGGGGGCGCCAGAAGGGATCCTTGCCTAGAGGGCAAAATAAGCTGGGGCCGGCCCTGACTGCAGGATCCTTTGATACGGGGGAGATGTTAAAGTAAAAGTGAAACCTTGGACACTAGCTCTAGAAAGGGAGGTGGAATGAGCTCTGGTGGAATGACCTCACAGATGAGATCAGGGCCCTGCGGGATTTACTACAATTCCGCAGGGCCTGTAAGACAGAGTTCTTCTGCTGGGCTTTTAGTTGAGGCAGCGGACGTCCCCCCACCCCTTCTGGTTGGCCTCCCATCAGTGTCCTGGATTCGATCAGCCACCTGGGAACCCACACCTCTGTTCCATCTGAACTGCTAAGACATTCTGCATGGTATTTAATGACTTTTGTACTGTTTTGTTGTTTTAAAGTGGTTGTAATTGTTACTGTAGGAGCTGCAGTGGCTCAAGTGGTTAAGACGCTGAACTGCAGGCTGTGGAAGGTCGGTAGTTTGGCAGTTCGAGACCCGAGTGTGCCGCATGACGGAGTGAGCTCCCGTCTCTGGTTCCAGCTCCTGCCAACCTAGCAGTTCAAAAGCAAGAAATTGCAAGTAGATAAATAGGTACCACTTCAGTGGGAAGGTAACAGCGTTCCATACACTTTGGTGTTTAGTCATGCTGGCCACAAGACCATGGAAACGTCTTCGGACAGCGCTGGCTCTTCGGCTTTGAAACGGAGATGAGCACCGCAACCCTAGAGTCGGACTCGACTGGCTTTCGAGCAAGGGAACCTTTACCTTTTTTTAAATTGCTAATGTAAATTGTATTAATATTGATGGAACCCGCCCTGAGCCTGCTTAAGGGGAAGGCGGGACACGGCAACAAAATAAATAAATAAATAAATAAATAAGTAACCATGTTTTCAGATCTATGCCTAAATATGGCTACGTAAACAAGGGACAAATCTTCGGTTGTGCAGATTCTGAAAACACCCGAGCATCTTTTTGAAAAATTTAAACCTATTATTTTAAAACAAGGGTATTCAACGAATCAGAACCCTGTAAGCAGTCGATGGTTTGACAAGGATTGCAGATCGCTAAGCAGGTTTTCTATCAAGCAGATGTTCGTATTGTCATGCACAGAATCATGACTCTCTGGTTCAAAGGAAGGCCTGGAAACATCTCCCTCCACTCCAGAGCGCGCAGCAAACAGGGCCACGACAGTAATTCCTCTACTTGCCGACAGCGGGATTTGCTTGGTTGCTGTATTTCCATGCGAGCTCGTAGTTGGCCGCCGCATCTTTATAGGCCTTTTCCTTTTCTGCGATAAATCCCAAGCATTCGTAAGCTTTAGAGCAGGACTGAAGAGAAAAACGACAATGCCCGAAGAGACCATTGAGTAACTTTTAATCCAAAATTAATATCTGCAGCTATCTTCAATACCTTTGTGAATAAGAACATCAGAAGAGCCCTGCTGGATCAGACTGGTGGTCCATCTAGTCCAACCTCCTGTCTCACACAGTGGCCAGCCAGTTCCTCTGGAGGGCCAACAACAGGGCATAGAGACCGAGGCCTTCCCCTAGTAAGAACATCAGAAGAGCCCTGCTGGACCAGACCAGTGAGGGTACATCTAGTCCAGCATCCTGTCTCACACAGGGGCCAACCAGTTCCTCTGGAGGGCCAACAACAGGGCACAGAGGCTGAGGCCTTCCCCTGATAAGGACATCAGAAGAGCCCTGCTGGATCAGACTAGACGTCCATCTAGTCCAGCATCCTGTCTCACACAGTGGCCAACCAGTTCCTCTGGAGGGCCAACAAGAGGGCATAGAGGCCGAGGCCTTCCCCTGATGTTGCCTCCTGGCTCTGGAATTCAGGGGCTTAGTGCCTCTGAATGTGGAGGTTCCCCTCAGCCACCACAGCTAGTAGCCATTGATAGGCTTATCCTCCATGGGTCTATCGAATCCCCCTTTAAAGCTGTGTATTCCTGTGGCCACCACTACATCTTCCCGCATCAAATCCCCCATTTTAATCACTCTCTATGTAAAGCAGTATTTCCTTTTGTCCGTCCTGAACCTACTGCCCATCAGCTTCATTGGATGCCCTCGAGTGCTAGTATTTTGGGAGAGGGAGAAAGATGTCTCTTTGTCAGTTCTCTCCGCCCCATGCATAACTTTATAAACCTCTATCCTGTCCCCCCCCTTAGTCGTCTCTTCTCGAAATGGAAAAGTCCCAGAGACGCTTCTGCCTCTCCTCCTAGGGAAGGGGCTCCAACCCCTGAATCATCTCTCTCGCCCTCCTCTGCACTTTTCCCAGCTCTGCTGTGTCCTTTTTGAGAGACAGGGACCAGAACTGCACACAGTATTACAAATGAATGTAAGTTGTGTTGAAGCAAAGATGAATATCTTTCCCTCCAACAGTGCATGCAGATTTTTCTCAGCTTCTCCCCATCCTTTCCCCTTTATTGGCATGCATACCGGTTTCCAGGGATTTTTTGCTCTTTTCACATTTTTGAGGACATGTTCGGCATGCGTAGCCACTGAAATAAATATCTGCCCTCCTTTTTAAGCAAACGGGAAACTCTGTTATGGGGCAAAGAGGTGTGATGGATTGCCACAAGGGCCAACTGATCGACCTCAGGTACAGTTAGACAGGAAGGAAATGGCTGCCTGACTGGCACAAGTTCCAGCCATTCAGGACTCTGCACAACCATCTGCTTTTTCCTGGAAACAGGAAGCACTGGTTTCTCCTGGGCTCTGTTCAGCTTGGAAATCAGTATGTCTCTCCAAGAAGATCTACTAGGGGATTCAATGCTAAGGATACATACAATCTCTGCTCTTTCCTATCCCAAGTGTACCTCTCAAATAAAGAGAGAAGTATTTCTCTCCTAAACTTGCAACGTGTGTAGCTTTGTCAGCTGAGTAACCTGGTAAAGAGACGCTCCTGCGTTTGTAACTTTATTTAAGCCCTCTCCTAACTAACGGTGACTGGAATAACCACACCAGTTCACCTCAATAGAAACCCTATGGGGTCACCATAAATTGGCTGTGGTTTGATGGCACAAGTCAAGAAACAGAAAGACAAAGAGACGTTCTAGCCTCTGGTGCGCAAATCGGCAAGGGGAGCGTCATCTCTCGAAAGCTTCTGCTCTAGAAAACTTGTAGTCTTTAAGGTGCTGGCAGACTCAAATCCTGCTTGTCTAAGGACAGCTCTACAGATTTTGAGTACGGCCAACTTTTCCCCTTCACTCTCACCCAATTCCCCTCCAGTAAGTACAGCCAATCCCACAGGGCTTTTGTCCAGGCAGGTCCCACAATCCTTAGCAGCCATTGTTCCCTCTAAGCTGAGTTAGTGTGAGCCAGCTCACAGTTTTTTAGCCTCCGGCTCACCTGTTTTTGTCTTCGCTCAGGAACGAAGGCTCCAGAGCAAACCGATTGATGCAGCGGCCAAATCGCTCGCTCACAACTTTAATGCCAGCGGCTCACAAAGTAGAATTGTTGCTCACAAGACGCCACAGCTTAGAGGGAGCATTCAGCACTGCCTTGTTGGGTGGTCAAAGAGGACCCCCCCCTTTCCTTTTCCACCGTCAGACAAACTGTTTGGGTCCGGCCCTTGGTGGGTGTTAATCACCACCTCGTTAACCGCTAATGTTTGAGGACCAGACGCCTGGAGGAATTCTCCAGCCAAAGTGACAGCTGCTCATGCCCCTCACCTTATTGTACCGTAAGCAGCGGTTCAAGAGGTCAGTGGCATGGTCGTACTTCCCATTCGTGCAATGGATGTCCGCCAGCAAAATCCAGCCCTTTTCCAGCTCTTCGGCATCTGTCAAAGTCCAAGTCGCTTTGCTCAGCCGCTTCAGCTGAGTCCTGGCTTTGGCCGTCTGTTTGAGGATCAGGTTTGCTTGAGCCACGGCCAGGATCGCTGAGATACTTTCCATCTAGAAAAACACACACGGTGTCTGCAGCATTTAAAGGGGTGGGGGGGGGGAGAATCCTGAATGTGACTGCAATCTTTCGTTGCCGTTGATCTCGCTTTGCCTAGTAAGCCTCCTTGGTTTTCTAATTTAGAGATATTCTTTGGTTGGGTAAGGAGAAGAAATCTTTTGCAGGCATTGGAACTGCTTGAGAGCCAGTTTGGTGTAGTGCGGGGATGTCGAACTCATTTGCTATGAGGGCCAGATCTGACACAAATGAGACCTTGTTGGGCCGGGCCATGTGTGTCATAAAATGTAATGCCAGGTAGCGGAGATATAAACTTTATCAAGGACACAAAAACAAAGGTGTTCTTTTTTACTTAAAATAAAAAACATGCTTAAAACATTAGCACTCTTGCAATATCTTATTTATTTAGCAGTGTCTGATCACTGACACCCCTTGCTCTGAATTATTGCATCAAAATGTCTGTGCTGTTGCAATCTTGAGTATGCTGTTCAGGTGTGTATCTGTAAGCTGCAAACCTACGATGACGCAGCAGCAGCAGAACTGGAAGAAGAAGCAGAAGACAGCCAGTTCCACTGTGGGCCTGATAGAAGCCCTCCGGGGGCCTGATTGGGCCCCTGGGCCGCATGTTTAACACCCCTGGTGTAGTGGTTAAGAGAGGTGGACCCTAATCTGGAGAACCGGGTTTGATTCCCCACTTCTCCACATGCAGCCAGCTGGATGACCTTGGGTCAGGCACAGTTCTCTCAGAGCTCTCTCAGCCCCACCTCCCTCACAGGGTGTCTGTTGATGGGGAGAGGAAGGGAAGGTGATTGTAAGCTGCTCCGAGACTCCTTTGGGTAGTGAAGGCCGGGGTATAAAAACCAACTCTTCTTCTTCTTCTTCCCTCCAGCTTTGTGCATATACGTTTCGCACAATCTCCTCCCAATCGGTTCCCCGGCTCCTGATAAAGAGCAGTACTTCTGAGCCACATGGAAAGTGCATTTCCCTCTCTGCAACTTGCTACAGACAAATTAAGGAGAAGGGCTTCCCTGGGGGTTGAATCTCAGCACCATTTTTTTTAAAAAAACTGAGCCCTGGCCCCACGGGCTCCTCACAGCAGTCTGAGAATGAACATGGGAGCACTGGGAAGGACATTTCAAGGTGATGGTGCTGCTCCTTTGTCACGGCTAACATCTGTGCTGCTGCTTTGTCCCCAACGGCACCCTGCTCGCTTTCACTGCTGAAGACCTTACCTCGTTCTGGGCCATGGTCGTAAAGGCGCCCAGGGCCTTCTCCACATTATGTTTATCTTTGGTGGCCATTAAGCAGTAGTTGCGCAACATCTCCACTTGGTTGTGACCCTCTTGGGAGTGGGTGTAGAACTCTTTGAGGAGCTTCTCCGCCGTGCGGATCCCGTGCTGCTCAGACTCCCTTTTTTCCATTAGGATACTGTCAAGAAGAAAGGAGGGGTTTGATATTTTCTAGGCCAGAGGTCCCCAACACGGCGCCCGTGGGCTCCAGAGCACCTGCTGACACTTTTCCAGGTGCCCGACAAGTGTTTTTGGAAAGGAGGTGGGGCGTTTGTCCAGCAAGGCTCCTGATTGGCCATTGGAGATTTGATGGGCTGTGCAGGTTTTTAAACCTGCTGCAGGGATCTGCACTGCGTGATTGAAGGCAAGTTGGGGCAGTGATTTTATGGCTGGCACCACCTCCTGTGACAGCTGTGGCTTTGCCCACCAAGCTGTGTTATAATCCCAAAGGTGTCTGCAGGTTCAGAAAAGGTTGGGGACCCGGTCAAATCCAGTGTGACGGTAAAACAAAAGGACTGAACTCCCCTTGATTCTCTTGGGCCAGCGTTACTGTCCGATTTCCACTGCTACTGACTGCTATAGGCAAACCCTCATTTGCACAAACACAGAGGTGCAGTCCAGGTCCCAGCCCTTAAGGAGACCTGCCCACCTCCTTTCTTTCTCCGAATTTCCTTCTAACCAAAGCTGCTTCCACCGCTTGCAACGTCATAGAATATCTATCAGTGGAAGGCATTTTGATCTGCCTATGGCCCCATGCCCCCAATCTTCAATAAGAACATTTGTGAACATTTGCACAAGGCCCATTCAAAGCGATACTTTCTTCTTGTGTCATCTCCACCTAGAGGCAAACGTTGGAATTGCACTCTCTTCTCAATGGGAAAGCAAGGGACAAACAGCACATTTTGTAAAAACGCAAGTAGTATTTTAGAAAAGGCACTTGAGGCGGCGGGGAAGGAATTAAACATAAGAAGAGCCCAGTGTTCCGTGTAGTCAGTTTGGTGTAGTGGTTAAGAGTGCGGACTGTAATCTGGGAGAACTGGGTTTGATGCCCCGCTCCTCCACTCGCAGCTGCTGGATGACCTTGGGCAAGCCGTAGTTCTGTCAGGGCTGTTCTCTCAAGGACAGTCCTCGAAAGAGCTCTCTCAGCCCCACCTACCCC